GGGAATCTCACAAGAGATAACTCGCCACCTTCCAGCTAGAGCCAGCTTTCACAGTGAAGTTGAGATATTGACACAAGGATGACCAGTATTGAGAAAGTCCGTGCAATGTTTGTATCACGTGATGAGTTATATATTTATTATCCATTTATGTCCTATTTTATTTTACAACTATGTAGGACAGTACGTGATGAGTTGAATGGGCGCAAAATTGATGGGTCATGCTTGCGATGTGGGAAGAAAGGTCACATTACAGCTAACTGTTGACTGCTACCAGATAAGTATCCAGAAATAATTGTTCAAGCAGCAACATTTGTAGAGAATATTGCAGATACAGTCAAGGCCAAAGTTGCGAAAGACGAGGTGTCAAAAGAATTAGCTCCCAAATCAAAACATGTTCAGGGACAAGAAAAGGGAATATAAACATGGTCACTAGCTCAAAGTTAATTGAAGATAAGGAAGCTTAGAGCTCTATGAATGGGTCTTCTTCCATTATAGACGTTGTTATCGATGGAATATATTCAATTCCTACTTTAATTTACAACGGATGCGAATGTCTAGCTGCGGTTAGTAATTCCTTAGTACTTAAAGCTAACATACTGTCACGGTTTCATTACAAAATGCATGGGCGATCTTATAACTACAGTATATTAATTATGATTCTCTGGTAAGAGAATTCCTCAATGTAAAGTCTACATATATATACATTCTAAATTACTGCCCTTCAAGATGATTCTCCCTGTGACCTGAATAATTGAGACGCTTCTACAACTACCTAGAAGGTCCTCGGTACACCTGTTATCCTCATGAACCTTCAGTGTGTTTCCAGAAGGATCACTGAGAATATTCGAAGTTCTGTGGCTTCCGAGACCTTCCCCTTGTGCCATAGGCTACGCTGGTCAGCGTAGGCTACAGGAGTCTTTAGGCTTAACAGCCGTCACAATATGGATGACGTACTTGTCTTCACCAACAGAGATGAAAAGGAGTGTCAAAGGCACGTGCGGCTAGTACCTGAAAAGCTTTAGAAAGCTAGACTGGGACTAGATATTGACAAGTGCGAATTTAGTGTTAAAGAAACTAAATACTTGGGTTTTATCATATCTTCGGATGGTGAGAATTCTTCAGTCAAGATGGACCCAGCAAAGGTCAAGGCAATATGAGAATGGAAGGCGCCTACAACGACAAAGGGGCTAAGAGGATTCCTAGGGTTTGCCAATTTCTATCGTGGCTTTATCAAGGGGTTTTCAAGGATCTGTGCCCCCTTAACATCTCTAACAGGCATAGGTACACCCTGGAAGTGAGGCACTGAACAAGATGATGCCTTTCAATTGCTAAAGGAAAAAATTGTTGACGAGCCTGCTCTAGCCCAATGGGATCCCGATCGAGAAACAATATTGGAGGCGGACTGCTCCGGTTTTGCGCTTGGTGGCTGTTTGCTACAGAAACAAGAAAACACCACTGCAACATCTGATTCTTCAGTGTAGCAAATTTACAAAGGAAAGGAATGCATCATTTCAATCTATAGTACCACTCAAACTGCCCATATTGTTTCGAACAAAAAGGGGGAAGGAGGCATTACTAGAATTTTTAAAAACTTCCAGGTGTATCAGTGTACACAAGGGAGAATAAATAGAACAAAAAACATTGGGCAGATATATGGAACAACAAAGATGAGAGAGATTATTCAGGGGAGTTTGATTACTTAGTGTTAATGTTAGATGAATTGTCATAGCTAAATAGCTGAATACAAAATGAATAAAATAATAAAAAATAAAAAATAAAACACCACATGGATACCAGTGGCATACTATTCTCGGAAGCTGAGTGGAGCAGAAATGAGTTATGAGATTCATGAAGAAGAACTTCTAGCCATTGTAGCTAGTATGAAGGAATGGGATGCAGATCTGAGGGGTCTAGCGCATGCTTTCACTATTCTAAGTGACCATATGAACTTAAAGTACTTTCTAACCACGAGAAGATTGACAGAGCGGCAAACTCGATGGGCTGAATTCCTATCGAGATTCAAGTACACACTGGTGTATAGGAAAGGGGTAGATAGCGAACGTCCGGATGCACTCTCAAAAAGGGACCAGGATAGACCAGTGGAAGGCGACCCTCGACTCTTGAGCCGTGAACGCCAAGTTTTAACCCCAATTAACGCTTCAAAGTTGTGTATAAATGGTACTTGTATTGCAGAAGGCCATGAAATATTTGTCAACGAAGATTTACAGGAGCTTTGGGATCAAGCAGTAGAAAGCGATAAAACTGTTAGAATTTAGAATAATTGTGGCTATCAAGTAGGCCACGTTTTTGGTACACACGTGACTGCAAATTCTATACTTAGTTTCACTTCGGTAGTTACTTGAATCAATGCGCTCTACAACCTCAATGATTGGGGGGTCATTAGTTCCTTAACATAATTGTATATCAAAAGGTCTTACTTGTACTAAGCCTACCAAGTATCAGAGATGGAGGGCAAGACTGAACACCTGTACGCGGTGTCCTCTACGAACCTGGGAGTGAAATATTCCCTCAGAGCCAAGTTCAGTCAAATTTCGCAATATCAAAGAAGTTGGCCCACGAGGCAAAATTTCAAATTACTCCACCATGTCAATCTTTCACTCCCAATAAGTCCGATTCTCAACTAAGCTTCATCAAGTCTACAAGTACGACATAGTACATCCTCAACCCAATGACCACACCTCTAGTCGACTTTCTCTGGCCTCAGCTGGTCACCAAATACACGCCCACGCCGATATCTATACCCGACAGAGGAAGCAAAGTGTGGCGCACAAATCTGGGAGATAGTTCTTTGGGATGGACGTGAGAGGGATCAGGACAAGTTTACAAGATGATACAAAAGAGGGATACATTCTCGACAGGCGTGAAATTTTGAATTTTGGCAAGAGTTTTACGAATCGAGCTTTGTGCGCGCCAAGACTTCGCTTGCGAGAGTGCAGCTGACACTTTAAATGCAAGCAAACGATGGAAGGTGTTATGGTCCGCCTCCTGGCGGTGTTCTCAGGTATAGTCTAAGTAGCCTGGGCACCTACTCCACTTGGGAAGGAGACATCTCAGATTACATTTCACGCGGAGAAAAGTTGAAAGATGATGGAGGCATGTCTGGACAACTCAGGGTTTTTGAGATGTTCCTCTGAGAGGGTATTCACGGATGAGGGTTGACTTGGGGTGAAGAAAAAGCCGCCATAACTTCGCAGTGGTACTTACAAATGAAATCTGAGGCACGAGTGCTCCTCTTGTAAATTGAGTCATTTTTTCTGTGCTTTTCTTTGATATTGTGTCATAGCTAGATAGCTGCATACGCAATTAAAATCTGATGCAAAAAAAAAAAGTATCAGAGATGTACAAAAGTCCGTGCATAATTAATATCACGTGGTTATCTTGGCGAGTACTTGCCAATCACAAGTATTCGTGATATGGGAAATTGATCTAACTCGGCCTATTTCTGGTTTTAACGCGTTGATTGGGGAATATCCCATGAACTTGCCACGAAAAATTCAAAGAAATCTACAAGTACTGTTTATAGAGCGAAGTTTGACTATCATCTACGGCTAGCTATATTTGCTAGGCCTAAGAGATTTATGTCGAATGACCTAATGACTAAATGACCTTTCATGTATTAATTTAGAAATGGTGACTAATTATGTTGATGAGTGATGAGTTACCTGTTTAGGAATGTCGTCAGGAGAGAGGGACAACTGCTGTATATAGGTGTTTCCTTTAGTTAGAAGTCAAGGAGAGAGAAGATAGATGTTAACCACCAATTGTTATTACTGCTACGAAAAGCTTGTGATATAAATACCACCCGAGTATTTCGACACTGATCAGTGATCAATACCGAATAGATTCTCGATTTTCTTTGTCTGAAAGTAATATTACGAAACCAATCTGGGAGAAGTCTTTGTTATTCGCAATTGATGAACCTCAATCCTCTAGTCGTATTTTCCTTCTACCATTTTTAAGGATAAGAAGATGAAATTTTAAGAGTACATGTGTGATTAATGGGAGGTGAAAATAGAACTGGTATTTGAGAAATAAATCAGGTATTAATGATATCTAGGAGACGTGATAGATGCGTAAAATGGAGGTAAAAGTTTGATACAGTGAGAACTTATCAAATGGTAGAGTGAGTGGGTGTGTGCGTGATGGACGCAAAATCAAGTGCCTTTTTCAGGGGTTGATTTCTTTAACATAAACTGAATGATGAGGGCCTTTTTCAGGGGACGACTTTCAAATTATATTCCTTAGCAAAAACAAGTTGAACAGAGGCCTTTTTCAGGGACTGTACAAATTATTTCTCTCTTCACAGGTATTCTGATCTGAATTCGGAAAATTGATCAGTGTCATAATACTCGGGTGGTATTTATATCACAAGCTTTTCGTAGCAGTAATAACAATTGGTGGTTAACATCTATCTTCTCTCTCCTTGACTTCTAACTAAAGGAAACACCTATATACAGCAGTTGTCCCTCTCTCCTGACGACATTCCTAAACAGGTAACTCATCACTCATCAACATAATTAGTCACCATTTCTAAATTAATACATGAAAGGTCATTTAGTCATTAGGTCATTCGACAATTTACTTCAACACCCATCTCCCACCATGGTTTTGACATATAACTTAAGCTACTTAGATGAGCAAAGTTAATAATTTGGACAGTAGATCTTGAGTCTCGACGTCAAGTGATCCCGAGATCACATGAAGATTGACCTTTTTGAAGCCTAATATTTTTAGGCTCACATTACCTTTCTTACGCCCAAGTCAAAATTTTGGGATGCTTCAGTTTTTCGAAGTTATCGTTGAGGTCGTTGAGGTCATCATACTCGAAGATGATGCTCAGCCATTATTGATCTGTATCTACTTAAGTTTAGAGATTGGAGGGGAACTGGCCCAAAAAAAGGTAGACGAGATTGTAGAATTTGCTATATTTTTCCAGCATTAAAGAAAAGTTTTGTCAGCACACCTGAGAAAGGTTCTCTCTAAAAATCTGTAGCTGGCAAAAGAATTTTCTGTAAATGATGGATGATTTCATGAGAAAAGTCCAAGCATGGTTCCAGATTAATAAAGATACCATCACGTATTTGAGCATGGTAAAGGTGGTAAGTTTCAAGGCTAGTGTCATGACCTATAGCGAATCCATGATAGAGTCCTAGATTTTTTAAATTAGCAGATTTTCGAAACAGTTTAAGGCGAAAGTTTACTGTTATCATCAGTTTCTGGAAATCTCATAGGCCAGAGTTTAATTATTCTGTTTTTTACAAGAGGGAAGTTGAGTTGTCTGCCATGTAGTCTCGACTTCCAATTTTTCAAGGCGAACTCTAAATAAAGCCAAATTGTTTTGGACTTGATCTTGTGTCCCGAGCAAGTCTCGGGCCAGTACTTGTCTGGCATTCTGTCAAGATTTAAGATAGAGGATGGGACATAAATATTATCTGATGAAGTGGATGATAAATCCCATAAGGCTACACATTTGTCATTTCTATCATGTAAGTTGACGATACCCTTGAATTTATTATTGCTCATATCAAAAACAAGCCAGAATTGACTAGTCGTCACTGGCGAAGAGAAGTTAGAGCTCTGTGCAAACCAACTGAAAGGAATAAAGTACCAAAGGTAATTCTGTTTGAAAGTTTCTTGTGGACAGGAAAATAATAAAGGTCAACTCCAACAAAATCGTCACCCGTATATTTTTTAAGGTTGGCGAGATAGTTTTTTTCTTTCAGTCGTTTTCGGAAGGAATCATCCGAGAAAAATTCCGTTATTCTATCAATATTGGACCATGGAACTACTTTCAACCCGCATTTGAATCCAAGCACGGGTCTACTCATGCCCAAATTCTCATCTGAGATTTGAAGTTCGTTGCTGGCCTCTTCTATAAACCTGCGTACTGGGTTGCATTTTTCGAAGGTAACTTTTTTTTTGCGCTCCTTAGGGTTTACAATTACCATACCCATGATTTGTCCCCTAATATTTATTATAAGGCGTATTCTCCCTGGATTGCCTAGTCTTTGATTCAGTGAACGTCTATGAATGCGTGAGGGAAATTGTAAAGGTTTGATTTATTACTCGAATGAAATTTCTGGTTGGGCAAAACAGGCCACGAGAGAAGAATGTCAGATTTAACATTGAATAGATGTGTATCTTCAAATAGTTTTGGAAATTTTTGGTAATATTTCTCAAAAAATGTTAATTCCATAATTCTTTTTACTACTTCCCGTAGATGATCAATTGTAAAATTATCTGTTTCGCATACGAAGCCATTGGTTTCACCTGGAAGGTACATGTCCGAGTACGGGATATCTGCGCAATAAACTCGATGAGTCAGTTCAAATACTGCAATGAAGATGCCGAGCTTAGACCACATCCCGACCGGAAGACCAAATAGAAATCCAGAATCGTGAGTTGAGAAGTATCAAAAATGTGGCGACGAGCTTATGTGCACAGAAATATCTCGTTGGAAGGGATTCTCTCAATAATTTCTGAAATATGTTTACAATCGTGTTGATGTTGAATTGCTGGATAGATGGGGAGCGCCAAGTGAACAATTTCAACTAGTTCATCCGAAAGATTAGGTATTCGAGTCAGACCGTGAATTTCCCTCTCCGCTCATTTTGTTTGATTTTATTGCGCAATTTGAATCTATATCTTTCAAGCACGCTGTGCTTTTCTCTGATCCAGGCCTCATCTTGAACAGTGCCCCTGTCCTCCTTTATTATGAAAATAGACTTCCGATACATTGCCCATGATGTATAGCCATTCATCTCGGTACTCGCCAACAGAATTTAGCCTCCTTTTCCTTGTTACCTTCTACCCACAAAAAAATGGTAGCAATAGAAACCGCGTTTGCGGGAAAAATTCTCAAAAATCCTGTAGCCCCAGCTACACGAGGTAAGTACATACATCTATATCTACCTTCTTTGTAACATTAAAGATGCACTTAATCCAATACACATTCGCAGTATCGGGTGCTGAGTACGCTCCAGAAACTCTTCGGATGGCTTTTCCCCCATGACTAAGGGTTGGTGATCTGTAGGACCTTGACCGTGCCATCTGATGTGACATGGTTAGCTTAGTGATAATGGTGCTAGAAAGTTTTGCTGGTAGACGAAGACGATACAGACCGCGAAATCGTTTAGAAATCCTCATCAAAGTGAGGACGAAGGTGTTACTCACTCTCGGTTCTGCAGGCTCTACAGGGAGAGCTAGAGGTTCTTGGAGGAAAATACTGGCCGGTGTTGAGAGTGGTTGCCCCTCCCCAGAAAGATAATCTTAGCGATTAAATTTTATCACGAGATTGAGCCAACAACGTTTACAATTCCAAACTGTTGGTATAAATGTCCTGACCTCACTCTCCAACGTTAGTCATAGATTAGTCATCGTTCATTATGAGTAATAGTGTTGGAATTTAGAATAATTGGGGCTATCAAGTGGGCCACGTTGCTGATCTACACGTGACTGCAAATTCTGTACTTAGTTTCAATTCGGTAGTTATGTGATTCAATGCGCTCTACAACCTCCATGACTGAGGGGTCATTATTTCCTCAATAGGTTATGAGCCCGGATTGTCGCTCGCGCAATCACGTTGTATCGCCCGGAATTTGATACCATCTTCGTTATGGGCAAGTAGAAGGGCATATGCTCTACTTGCGCCAAATTAATCCAAATAGGAGGCTGTCACCTTCTTGAACCCGAGACAAGGCCATCGCCTTTGAGTTGCAATCTCTAAAGAAAAGTGAATGGCCGTCGCCTGAGGAGACAGGAGGTTATCGCCTTCGTTAGGGAAAGCACAGGTCGAGTACTAAAGATCGGGGTCGCTGCAAAACCCTCGTGAGGATTAATGGTTCCTAAACGCACCGGTAGCCAGCCTGTCGATGGAATCTGAGAGAGAGCCCATGGGTCAAATGAGTGGACCCGAAAAATAAAAAAAAGAGAACACAAACTGGCAGCTACAGTACGAGAGCTGCTCCCATCATTATAATCTGACAGCTACTTTACGACATCTGTCACAATAAGAATTATTCGACTCTTTTCCGAAGTTTGTCGAATCCTTAACCTGACAGCTCCCATCCGAAAGCTGTCGCAAAAATTTTCGCTGCTGATTTCCGACAACAATTCGAACCTCAACCTAGCAGCTACGCTTCGAAAGTTGCCATTTATACTCTCAAGACTTCCCTTCTTAAAGTCTTCGCCATTATCTAAGCAGAGGGAACTTCGTCAAGTTATCCGACAACAAAAAGTCTCTACAACAGCCAAGGCTTCAACATTATCACCATTTCAACGGCTATCTTCGTTTATATTTATATTGTCGTGGGGAGATAATTCAATGAGTAGAAAAACAGTTGATGACAAAAATACCGAAGCAAGATATAAATAAAACCAAGTGGAGCTTGGTGATGGTATGAGAGAGCTATCACACGGAACACTCTCTAATAAGGCTTCTGAAGGGATACACTAGTAGGGCATATTGCTGGTAGAGGGAAATCAGTCAATGGAATACCAGCGATTTGGATGGAATTAACGCCGGAACAACTACAGTACGGAAACTGGGGGAGTGTGTGTGAGAGCTAAGAAAGGCTGACGCTTAGACGCCAGATCCTGGGGGAGCCTTTGATGTTAACGACATCAAATTGAAAGGTTACTCTGGAAAAGCTTAGGACTCTACGGTGTATGTGGGGGAAAATGAGAGAAGATGAATCAATTCCAAAGGATACATTCCTTGGATTGATTCATCGAAAATTAAAAGATCAGTTTGGGAGCAGACAATAACCATTCAAGAAAACATCTAATGAAGCAAAGATACAGGAACACAAGGGGGACTATTCCCAACACCTTTCATTGGAGTCCCCTACGAACCTCCAGCTCTCACTGTAGAGTCTGCAGAGCCGAGATTGAGTATCAAAGTCCTCACTTCGACGAGGATTCCCAATCGCTTTCGCGATCTCTATCGTCTTCATCTCTCAACACATTCCCCTATCACCATTATCATGAAGCTAACCACGATCAGATCAGATGGTAGGGTCAGAGCCCTACTCATCACCAAACCTTGATCACGGAGGAAAAGCCATCCGATGAGTTTCCGGAGCGTACCTAGCACCCGATACGGAGATGGTGGATTGGATCAAGTCGGCCTCGACTGTTACAAAGAAGGGAGATATAGATGAATATGCGCACCTCATGTGGTCCCGGTGTCTGGGCATCGCCTGGCTGGGGCTGCAGGTTTTCTGAGACTTTTTCCTGCGCACGCAGTTTCCATTGCTACCATTTTTTTTTTTTTTTGGGAAGAAGGTTCCGTGGAAAAGGTGGCTGAATCCCACGGGTAAACACTGAGCTGAATGGCTATTCATCAAGGGGAATATATCAATGATCTTTCAAGTAACAATAGAGGATAGGAGCACTGTACAAGGTGTGGCCTGGGTCAGAGAGGAGCCCAATGTGCTAGATACTCATAGACTCAAATAGTACAATAAACAACAAACACCCTTGTCCTCGGGCAGTCCAAAATTTGGTGTACATCAGCGCATTCGTCCCGCCAAGCTATCTTTCCACTCGACGACTATATTTATCCTCATTGACTGCTGTTAAGGTACTGCTTTAGATGACTCGTGATAATCACACTTCCACAGTTCGTAGCATGGGGTCAAGCACAATGCAATCTCGAGCTAGTTCGGGTTATAAATCTTTCGACACAGGCCTGACCTCGACTTAATCTCTAGTGGGGTCGTTATTCTTCGACGACTCGTGTTCCTTCCCATTATGGAGCCGTTTAATTATATTAACCACAAGCCCGAAAATTCTGGACCGGTCATCGCCATAATTTCATCGATAATGCCAGTGTTTTTGGCATAATTTCCCCCCTCAATTTTTTCCACAATAGGACTTTGAAAATCGCGACAGGAGAGCCTTGCCTCGGAATTTCAAATTACGCGGCTTATGTCATGATGAGTACCTCACACATGGGGACATAGACTACATAATTACTGAGCGTGGCTGCTTTGAGTTTTGATGGTGAGTTAGGCACCCTTGAAAGCTGCTCCTGTTTTAATGAAAGTTGTGGAAAGAAGCGTAAGCAGTTAGACTTGTATTTAATATCATCTAGTGAAGCGAGTTGGGAGATTGAAGGGTCTGAAAACTAGAGTGGAAAGTTGTTAATTAATCCCACTTAGTATCGGAGCGCTATTTAAATTAATTATTACATCTAGGTGAAGGACGCGATTCACTTGTTTATGCAAAATAATTGGGAGGCCAATCAATGTGTGAGTCGCCATGAACGTAGCTGGTAATACTAGAAACTTATTACGTTCTGTATTAATGCGACTCTTCATTGCCGAGTAGCGCCAATTACAACAGCTCCATGTGTCATAGCTCTACAGCTAAACACAAATTAAATGATGAAAAAAAAAGCTCCCTTAAATGCAAAACTTTGCCCTGTCGATCCTTTCGCCATTGGCAATGTCACGATGGGCGCGTAGGTTCTCTGCGAAGGCGCTCTCACTACCGCACCACAGAACGACTTTTGACAGATCTGAGAGACTATTCTCAAGTCCTCTTCCAATTCCCTTATACCCTATCTTACTGGAGTCATCTTTCGAGACATCGATGTCCAAGCCTTGTGATTTTTATGAGCCACAACGGCCCCGTTGACCTCATCTATTGTCGGAGTTTCTAAACTTCACTAGTAAATTTTAGTCTAACCTTTTTTAATAGGTTCCCTGACATAGCAAGGTTGTTGTTATTCGGGGCTACCTGCGCTATGCTTACTTTAGATATCTTTGAGATTGTCGTTTTTCGCGGTGCGCCTCTTCCGCAATACAGCTTTGAAGAGTGACCAGTGCTTTGTTTGCAAATTATTAGGTCATTTCGACCTCAGAGATACTCATACTCTGGGTTTTCATTTTTCCCTAGAAAATGGTTTATTCAACTTTTAAGCCATTTCAGAATTTAGGCAAACGTTTTGGTTGTGTCGGAATACTTTAACGCGGTGCAAGGAACGTAAACTGTGTGTCACGTTTCTGCGGCTGTGTTGGTGGATCTTGACTATTCTCCTATTCTACAAAAGATACTATTTATTAAGGAAATAATGACCCCTCAGTCATTGAGGTCGTGGAGCGCATTGAATCACATAACTACCGAATTGAAACTAAGTACAGAATTTGCAGTCACGTGTAGATCAGCAACGTGGCCCACTTGATAGCCCCAATTATTCTAAATTCCAACACTCCCTCATAGATTAATTGGGCGTATTACTTGTCTTCCTGTATGAGTGTGTGTGTTATATTGTAATACTTGAGTCTATGAGTATCTAGCACATTGGGCTCCTCTCTGACCCAGGCCACACCTTGTACAGTGCTCCTATCCTCTTTTGTT